TATTTTTAACTAAACGGTAAATACCAGTATAGGTTTTTAAAAAATTGGAGTTTTTAGGCATGGGTACAGGACAACGTCTGTTCGGTCACCTAGTATATATATATATATATATATATATATATATATATATATATCTGTGTGTGTTGTGTTGTATGTGCGTGTGGACCTGCGTGTATAATCATTATTATTATCGGTGCTCTGCCCGAAAGTAGGTCTTATATACCCTGTCCCTCCTTTGAAGGAATGGTTCACTCATCTGGGACTTCTGCTTCCAAGCTTCTGGGACTTCTCTGCCTTCAGTTCACTGTATTTTCTCTTCCCTTGTACCTCATCCATCGATCCATCATCTGCATAATATTCCTTGGTCCTAGACCCTCCAATCCCTCTATTATTCTCTCGAAGGCATTATGTAGACAGAAAGGACACTACTATCGATCGAACTAAAATAAATGTGAAACTAGTGGGGCGCATGGCATCGTGCCTTAAGGCAAATTGCTGGAACTTCCAGTACCAAAAATTATTAACTTCCCGTAGGGCAAGTTATAGTAATCGCAAAAAAATCGAAACAATGTTAATAATCATATTTCGATATTTATCTGTTTGATATATGTTACATGTTGTGATGTAGCTGATTTGGTTTTTACTGTATAATTGAAATTTAAGTGTAGAAATTGTACATACATTTTGGTATAGATTGTAGTGTAAAAACATTAATGATTATTTTTAACTAAACGGTAAATACCAGTATAGGTTTTTAAAAAATTGGAGTTTTTAGGCATGGGTACAGGACAACGTCTGTTGGGTCACCTAGTATATATATATATATATATCTGTGTGTGTTGTGTTGTGTGTGCGTGTGGACCTGCGTGTATAATCATTATTATTATCGGTGCTCTGCCCGAAAGTAGGTCTTATATACCCTGTCCCTCCTTTGAAGGAATGGTTCACTCATCTGGGACTTCTGCTTCCAAGCTTCTGGGACTTCTCTGCCTTCAGTTCACTGTATTTTCTCTTCCTTGTACCTCATCCATCGATCCATCATCTGCATAATATTCCTTGGTCCTAGACCCTCCAATCCCTCTATTATTCTCTCGAAGGCATTATGTAGACAGAAAGGACACTACTATCGATCGAACTAAAATAAATGTGAAACTAGTGGGGCGCATGGCATCGTGCCTTAAGGCAAATTGCTGGAACTTCCAGTACCAAAAATTATTAACTTCCCGTAGGGCAAGTTATAGTAATCGCAAAAAAATCGAAACAATGTTAATAATCATATTTCGATATTTATCTGTTTGATATATGTTACATGTTGTGATGTAGCTGATTTGGTTTTTACTGTATAATTGAAATTTAAGTGTAGAAATTGTACATACATTTTGGTATAGATTGTAGTGTAAAAACATTAATGATTATTTTTAACTAAACGGTAAATACCAGTATAGGTTTTTAAAAAATTGGAGTTTTTAGGCATGGGTACAGGACAACGTCTGTTGGGTCACCTAGTATATATATATATATATATATATATATATATATATATATCTGTGTGTGTTGTGTTGTGTGTGCGTGTGGACCTGCGTGTATAATCATTATTATTATCGGTGCTCTGCCCGAAAGTAGGTCTTATATACCCTGTCCCTCCTTTGAAGGAATGGTTCACTCATCTGGGACTTCTGCTTCCAAGCTTCTGGGACTTCTCTGCCTTCAGTTCACTGTATTTTCTCTTCCCTTGTACCTCATCCATCGATCCATCATCTGCATAATATTCCTTGGTCCTAGACCCTCCAATCCCTCTATTATTCTCTCGAAGGCATTATGTAGACAGAAAGGACACTACTATCGATCGAACTAAAATAAATGTGAAACTAGTGGGGCGCATGGCATCGTGCCTTAAGGCAAATTGCTGGAACTTCCAGTACCAAAAATTATTAATTTCCCGTAGGGCAAGTTATAGTAATCGCAAAAAAATCGAAAATGAAAATTTTTATATATCTTTACGTTTCAAACCTTCTGACCATTTTGGCATACCTTAGAAAAAAAGGGCTGTATGTGTGTGTGTGTGTGTGTGCGTATATATGTTCGGATACAAATTTTCGTCGACGATTTCGGGAACACGGATCAACCGATTTGAATAATTCAAAAAACATTCGATTTGTACTGATAACGAGACGTGCTGATTAGTTTTTGGCGAAGGCAGGCCGAAAACGGTAACTCAGTTTTTAAGAAAACGGAGCGTCCGATTTCAATAATTCAAAAAACATTTCACTTGTATTGATAAGATGAAAAATTTATCAAATTTTTATGAAGGCAGGTCTAGCGGTTTTGGAGATCTAATAAAAAAAGGAAAACTAGCTGTAAGTGGAATTCTGTCCTAAATAATTTAGGCATCGTGCCTTAAGGCAAATTGCTGGAACTTCCCGTACCAAAAAATTTTTTTTTAAAAACAATTAACATTTTTGAAAAAATTTTAATTCGAAAAAATTAGATTTTTGAGAAAATATAAATTTGACAAAAAATTACTTTTTTTTAAAAAAAAATTTTTTTTGAAAACAAAATTTTTTCGAAAAGAAAAATGTTTTCTTCATTTTGACATATTTTGGAAATTCTGAACTTTTTTTCAAAGCAATCGTATTGCTTGAATTGCATAGAGACGAAATGTCAAAGCGCGCAAGTGCCGCGCCGCCGTCTAACGCATAATTGGTACGGAACCCATAGAAATGTAAAAAAAAATTATACTTATTGTTAAAATCTCTATAAAATATCTGATAATTTGATGTGCATATGTCTAATGACCATTTTTAACCGCCAGATGGCATTTTTTTTTAAATTTTTTCACTAGATCTACAAAACCGCTAGACCTGCCTCCATGAAAATTTGAACAATTCTTGATCTTGTCAATACAAGTAAAATGTTTTTTGAATGTTGCCCCATATCTTTGGAACGGCTAGACCTGCCTTTGCCAAAAACTAATCAGCACGTCTCCTTATCAATACGAATCGAATGTTTTTAAATTATCCAGATCGGTTGATTGGTGTTCCCGAAATCGTCGACGAAAATTTGTATTCGCACACACATACACACACGCACACACATACACACACACATACATCATTTTTTCTAAGGTATGCCAAAATATTCAGAAACCTTTGAAACGTAAAGATATATAAAAATTTTCATTTTAGATTTTTTTAGCGATTACTATAACTTGCCCTACGGAAAGTTAGAAATGAAGTCTACTAGAGCTTACTAAAAAAGAAAGAATTCTACTGACGATCAAACTGAAAAAAGCGAAGAAGAAGAAGTTGCCTCAGAAAGTAAGCAACAATGACATAACAAAATAATTCTACTGACGAGCAATTACAAGTGATGTAAAAAATGTTCTTCCTCGTTTTTGTCCTTGTCCTAGTTTGTTTCCGATTTCTATAATTTTTTGAGTTAACTTCTCGTAGGGTAAATCCAAAAGTAATAATAACTGTCCAAAAATTGAAAATAAAAATTTTTGCACATCTTTACATTTCAGAGTGGGTATGTATGGCGCTTGTGGGCCATTTATTATTAATTAATTATATCTTGAAATGCAACCGCAATTAATTGATGTAGACTCGTTGATAATGTGAGTTTATTGATAACTCAACTTATAACGGAACTGATATTAAATAAATTTAGATATCAATTTTTATCCCGACAATTGATCGATTATTAAAACCGCGAGACATAATTTCTCGATCGTGAAAAAAACAATAATCTAGCTAGCGAGATTTGCATCAGCGTAGCCCAAAGTATGCTGTGTGTTTAGTCATCACATTGGCGTCATTCAACTGACATCTGTCATGAAACATAATTCATTCCGCCATATATGTATGTAAGTACAATTTTTCGACGTTTTCGGGAGCACCGCTCAGCCGATTTGAATTACTCAAAAAACATTCGATTTCCATTGAAAAAGAGACGTGCTGATTAATTTTTGGTTAAAGTTGGTCTTACCATTTTGGATCCAGAAAAAAAGTTAAAAAAGAACAGTCTGGATTAACCGAGATGAATAGCTATCAAGAAATTTATAATATCATAATTTTCATGTTTTTTATATTTAACCCATTGATGCATTTTTTTCGTCCTGGCTTTTGCCTAAAATTTTAAACCAATTTTAAAAATTCAATAACTTTTTGGAAGATATCGGATTCATTTTTAGAAAAGACAAAGACAAATGTTGAAGTATTTTTTCGGCGATTCTAATGAAAATATTTAATAGCGATAAAATTCGTGGTCTAAAGTAATATTTTAAAGTATTATAGGCCATGTGTAATTTGCTTTCTTAACTTAATACTCGCTCAAGGTACGAAAAGATTTGATTGCTTTGATTTTGTAATTGTGAATGTATCTTAAGAGCTTCAATCGACGACTTTCGTTTTCACTCTCTTATCTTACTGTACAAGATTGTCGGAAAATATGCTTATTAGCTTTAGTAACTCATTGTAGGTATTTTTTAGAGTTTCAAATAATTAATGTGCATAATGTTTCTATTTTTTTCTTCAAATAAATGAATTTTAATCAAACAGAAACACTCGGCACACGACTGTTTCATCTCATATTGTAATAATCATATTCTATTATTTAACTACGGGCTTATGTCAAGATAATATACTTTTAATTTGCAGTCTGTTAAATTAAAGTGCAAGCGATATGATCTCAATTAACCTGTCTCAATAACTGTTCAAGTTCAAGATCTCTAATTTTACTGTAATCTCTAATAAAAGAATGGTATCATGACACAGAAACAGTATTACCTCAATGTACCAACTGACCCTTTTTTTCTCACTCTCTCATACATACATTTAAATTATGTATTATAAGAAAGCAAATTTATTCGAGAATTCTAATCCATCCTATAAGTAATAATAATTATCTCACTAAATAAAATATCTAGAATGCCGAACTTTATTTTGAAACGTCAAATAATGTTTACATTTCCTTGAATGAAATAAATAATATAATTTTAAATGGGAAATCGATTAAGTTTAATTTGGGGTAAACTCTTTGAATTTCCTGTAAAAAGAAAGCCAATCTGCTTTTTCAGACAGGAGGATTTCACTTCCAGCGGAGAATATATAGGTGAGTCAAGATAGAATTTTTTATTGAAATTTTTTAGAAATAGCCTCTTTTTAATTTCCTCTTTAGTCTGTGTATTCACATAAGTTTAATTTATAATTCACAAAAAAACCTTGAATATTTAAATTTGAAGATGTTTCTTCTGTTTCGGAATTGATTAACTTTCCGTAGGGCAAGTTATAGTAATAGCAAAAAAATCGAAAATGAAAATTTTTATATATCTTTACGTTTCAAAGGTTTCTGAATATTTTGGCATACCTTAGAAAAAATGGATGTATGTGTGCATGTGTGTGTGTGTGCGTGTGTGCGTGTGTGCGTGTGGGTATGTGTGTGCGAATACAAATTTTCGTCGACGATTTTGGTAACACCGATCAACCGATTTGAATAATTAAAAAAACATTAGATTCGTATTGATAAGGAGACAAACTCAGTAAGCAGGTCCAGCGGTTTCGGAGATCTAATAAAAAAAGTAAAAAATAAAGCCATTTTTTGTCAAAGTAATAGTTTCTCAAGAATCTAATTTTTTCAAAGTAATTTTTTTTTTCAAAAATGTAAATCGTTTTTTAAAATATAATAATTTTTGTTACGGAAAGTTCCAGCAATTTGCCTTAAGGCACGATGCCAATGCGCCCCACTAGTTTTTTCTTGCTGTTGTAAAAGATTTGATACGAAATCTTGAGGTTTACACATGGCATAACAACAAATATTATCATGGGCATTTCAATCATTTCTACGCATATCGATATTGGTTTGCCATATCAGTTTATTACGTGATTGAAGTCTCATGATATGTAATTAAAATGAAATTAATAGTAAAGCAACATTTGATACCAAAATCTCCAAATCCTGTATTTCGATCGTTCCTACTCGAATTCCATATCGATCTGGAGTACCAACTACTTTAGACATGTTAAAGGGGAAGAGAAAATGAAAGAAAATTTGTTTCAGACAATCTAAAAATGATAATTGATAAAAAAAGTCGTGTGCTAACTCGTAAATTTCATTACGGGCTATAACCAATCAGTTGTATTCCACGAATCTTGATTATTATAAAGTAACTTTGTGCAAAAATAGGTGACATCAAATCCGAACCAGCACCAGATTTACAAGGAAAAGGTGGAAATTATGAAAGAATGCTCAATGCTTTCTATGCCGAATTATTGCGTCTCAGAAATTTAAGAAGCGAGGAAGTTGATTGCTATTGCGATGATGATGTTTCTCAAAAGTTTCCAGGATGGGATGGTAACATTTTTAACTATTGAACTTATAATTATCCAATGATGAAAAGAATTAGAGTAACTTTTTATTATATACTATATATACTTTTATTTTATACTATAATTGATTGTGTTACAGATTCAGTCAAGTATGAAAACATTTCCTTTTTTTCTTCAAATATTAGTTGTCTGTGTGTGTAAAAACGGTGTTTGGCCAGTAAGGAAGACTGAGTACAATTGTGCATTTTTTTTTCTTTTGATTAGCCATAAATTTGTTAATTTACTAGTTAGCTGGGAGAAAAGCATAGATAAACTAGTGTAAATAGAGAAAAGTAAATTTAATAGTACTTCGAAATACTGAAATACTGTCCTTAAATATGATGGATTAGTCATATAATTAAACTACACAAGGGCGAATGCCACAACCGCCCACACCCTCACCGACGTTTGTGGCAGGCATAAAAATATGCTGGAAACTATAGGTATAAACACAAGAAGAGTTTACAACGACTTTTATTTTTGTTAATAACAATAATATGTAACACAACACAATATAAACATTTAACCTTATGAATAAAATATAACAATATATACACAAAAGTTAACAAGAATTCTTTACATTTTATTTGTCTTTTATATTTGAGTTTTCTTTTCTTTTCTCTTTTGTATTTGGCCTTAGTTGAGTTAGATTTTTTTATCTATTTAATCTTTACCCGAAAAGATAAAAAAATACATGCTACAACAGTGCCTACATAATTTGTCTCTATTGAGAACAAATCATCATTCTGACTGAGCTAAATTTTCTAAGAAAAAAATAATTGCTGGTAAATATAACTACTAATATTCAACTTACAGCCAAATTGCAAACAAAGTAATTTATCTGTATGCAATTAACAGTTATTATTGAAACAATTCGAACATTCAGACTTACTTTTGAATCTATAAAAGCAAAGCGGTCTTTAGATCATGATAATAAAAGCAATAATGAAAACTTGTTCGAATAATCATACTTTATCTTTCTATCATTGGACCCTATCTTAAAATAAGTAATGTTTAGCTTTTATGACGATTGTCACTATCGCATCCTGGCACAAACGAACCCAGTCTCCCTTACTCCATATTTTGATCATCATCGTTGAAATTTTAGTATATAAAATTATTAAATAAACTTAATTTCAATAATTATTTATTAAATGGTACTTAATTCAAGTCAGTTTCTTTCGGCTACTTTATTCAAATCTGTTTCGCAGGTACAACAGTTGCAAATCTGCACAGTTTATATTTATTGTTCGACAAAGGTTTGAATAATATGTTGAATCTTGAAGATTTTGAAGCAATTTTGGACTCTTTGGGCGATGAAAGTTTATCAGAGTACAGAAACGAAAAGTAAGATTTAACAATAAAAAAGATCATTAGCATACATACATACATTTAGTTAACATTATTTAAAAATATTGCCAGAAAATATTTTTTTCTATGAAAAACAATTGTGTTTACAGCATTTGAAACTTCTAATATAATATACACTTATTACTTCGTAGCATGTCCATAATTATATATTTCTTAACTACCCGTAAGGTAAAAAAAAGTGCGCGTAAGGTTCACACGCGATTGGATTAAAACTGTTTTACTATCGTACGCGTTGGCATTTAAGTAATACAACATTATTAAGAAACATTATTCAAACTTGTTATATGATGTATTACATATAACAAATTTGATTAATGTTCTTAGTAATATGGTAGGGGGAAGTCCCCGAGTGACGGAACCTAAGGTTATTCATAAATAAATAAAAAAATATTTTACGAAATGTTTATTAAATTATGACTTATGTTAGATAACAAAGTTAAAATCAAACTAAATTAACAAAAGCGCAACCTTTGCTAAAAAGTAATTAATACTATCAATCAAACTTTGGTAACAAGAAATATGGTTTTACAAAGTGGCACCTAGTACCGGACATTTCAAAATAACTAGTATTGAACACATAGGTAGCTATCTCCATACTCTGGAGTGTCTGCACTTTGTGTTTGATGAATATTCTAAGATATTGCAAAAAAAATCACTATTCATCCACCCTTTTGGCTGGGCCACACCGATGCTCTCAGCTGGAGCATTCATCATAAGATTTTCATTCTTTGACTAGAAAATACGAAAAATGGGGGTATGTAGTGACCGTTAGGACTCATATAGAACAAAATTAAATAATTAAAATAAAGTACGTCAACTCTCACAAGAAACATCAATATGTTTACTGTCTGTTTACTGTTTAAAATATCTAATAATATTCTACCATTTTACGGATAATAAGCAAGTACTATTATCATTCAATGCCACTCAAATATAAATGCATAAATACAGTAGAATTACTTCTATTGATATTTAGGTGACGCCGTGACTTTGCGCCTAAAACTGCAAAGGGTTGCTCCCGCCGTGGCCGTGTGCGTCTTGGCGGTTTATCCTGCACCTGTGTACCCCCCTCGCCCCCTTCACTTGCATTAAAAATTCGCTTAAATAATACGTATCATATAGAGTGTCCGGTATTAGATGCTGTCAGGTGTGCCATGCAAGTATAACGTAAAATATATGATAAACACCGGATCCGCGCAGTTTAGTGAAATGTCGAAATGAAGTGAACCATATAGCTACACACGGAGTGCTACCTTTAAAGTTAAATATTAGATTCAGCAGAGCCCTTTTATGGAATTTAGTGATAGCAGAAGTGTCATGTACAATTATTGGTGTGGAATTACTCGCTTATTATGATTTGCATGTTAAAAAACGTATGTTAGTAGAAACCTCAACAGATTGAAAAGATCCACCTCGAATTGAGAACATAAACAATACCTTCTGTAAAAATGCTGACGGCTACATTGTCCCCATATGACAAAACCTTAGAGAAATATCGAGACTTAACATAACAGACGGCATTAGAGATGTTTAAACTTGTTACTCAACACCATATTAAAGCTACATCGGGACCACCTATAGCACATAAACCACGTCGCCTGGCACCCGACAAGTAAAGTAAATATGAGTTCTGCAATTATTAAAGTACGGACAGTACGGCCGTTCAAGAGCTGTTGGCCATTACATATGGTCCGAAAAGGTACTGGTTGGCGACCTTTTGGAGACTACCGCAGATTGAATGGGCGTATATATAGCCGTAACGGTTTGTCGCATGCTGGAACGAATGCATCAATTAGATTGATAACACAAGGAAATGTATACCCTTCTATTAAAAAGGATTATGGGCACGCAGCCACAATCCAAATTGTCAGCGCTCAAAGATTAGTCGACACATTGTGCCACATCCAAGATTATTTACATTGCCAGATTTGAACATGTACATATAATCATGCCATTATCAGAAGGATTTTGTTATTGTCCAACTTGTGTAGATCGTTTTTCGCGTTGTCATCCCAATCGCTATAGAAGCTCTATATAAAATCAAGAAGCAGCTAAAGTGGCAACAGCATTCTTCTCAAATTGGATAGCGAGATTCGAAGCTCCGCTAAGACTTACATCAGACCAGGGTAGACAGTTTGAATCATATTTATTCGAGCAGCTCAAACGGTTAATGGGAGCAACGCACTTTAGGACAACAGCATATCACCCGGCAAGCTAACGGCATAGTCAAACGATTTCATAGACAACTGAAGGCTGCAATAAGATGTTATAACACTGGGATATTGCCGAAAGTCATGCTTGATATTCGATCCACGTTAAAAAAGGATCTTCAGGCGACAGTTGTGAGATGCTATGTGGCGAGACTCTTAGATTGCCGGAAGGCATGCTGGTACCAACCCAAGAGACCAGCCATATGAGGCCGATTTTATGAGAATCCTCAAGAAGCAGATGAAGGTTGTTAGGCCCGTGATCGGGAAAAACTAACTTTCATGTCCAAGGACTTGGTAAATACAAAATATGTTTTACTTCGAAATGATGGGCCGATAAGACCTCTCCAGAACCCCTACGATGGATCATTTAAGGTTTTGTCACGATCCGAAAAAACAATTGTCAGTGGTTTGATCGGTTTGATCAAACCTGGATCGGTTTGATCCAGGTTATGAGATACCGGTGAAAACAAACCTATAAGATTTCAGACAAGCAGTTACTTCCAATCACCACAAAAAAATCCCTTGTGACTTCATTACAGACGAGGGGAATGATGTGGAAGTTTAACAGGCAATGACAGATAAGCAATCTGGTAAGAAAGCCGCAACAAAAATAAAATGTATGTGTGTGGTTTCTTGTATAAAAAAATAATCTGGATAAAAAAATCGGTTCCAGCTTTCAAAAATTTTGAATTGCAGTAAGAGAAGTTCCAGCAATTTGTCTTAAGGCACGATGCCATAGCATAAACCATAAATTTTAATAACTGTTGAAAAATTATTTAGGGAATTATGTAATATTATATCGAAAACTTTATCAACAATACTTAATGACGAATGGGTAATTAATGTTGCTCTTGATATATTACTATTATACGAAGTACGAGTAGTAATTCGTTCGAATTTCTGTTCGATAATATACGATGATAAGCTGAAATAACAATAACAGGAGTTTTTGCATATCTAAATAGTATCATAAAAACCTGCACAACTACTCCATTGATAATACCATATTCTATCTATGCTGAGAATAATATTGAAATATTGTTACTTAAAATAATTTTTTAATTCTCAGGTTTAAGCTTGCTGATTCCGATGGAGATGGTTGGATAACAAGGCAAGAATTCTTGGAGTTGATTTATTATTTTAATGAACCGAAAGATGAAAACGAGCAGCTTGGCACGTTAGCAAAACATTGTAAAGAAGTAGCAGAACGAATTCTTTTTGTAGGAAGTTTAACGTTAGGTGAACAACTCGAATACGGTTTGTTTTGATTTGGAAAATATCATATAAAACATACTTTGGATCATAGCGCTATCGATAGGTATTTTGGTTTGAAATGTAAGTTTGGAATAAACTTGAATACGAAGAGATTTTGATTGATGTTTTTTATATTTTTATAATTTAACTAGGTGACCCGGCAAACGTTGCTTTGCTAAGTAAGGTATTTCTAAGCAATTGCTAGAAAATTTAAAAAAAATGATACTTTATTTTAAGTGTGTAAGAATGCCATAGACAATGAGGTAATCTAAAAACAATAAAACTCTAAAGTTTACTTGTTTAATATTATATAATTTATATTAACATATATTCGTTTGACCATATTTTGTAAATACAATCAAACTGGAAGTTTTATTTACTTTAATTGGCAAATCTACGTATAATCCAGTTCAAGTACTTTTTGGTCTTTAATTTATATATCGATAACGTTTCAAGTTTTTCATATTTGTTTTGATTCTGGATTTTGTGTATAGTTCTAAATAATACTACTAAGCTTATACAAAATTTTCAAAATTATTCGAAAAGGTAGATAATAAATTAAGTATTCTTCTTTGACCTCGTTTTTGAAAAAAAAATTCAGAATGTCAAAATTTTAAATAAGAAAATTGTCAAGGCACTTCATGAAGGATTGATTCCGATCTGTTTTTATAAATTTTGTGATAATTTTCTATTTTTTTTTTTTTTTTTTTTTTATCTCTTTATTTACAGCAATCAGAATACAAGGTATCCTATAAGCTATTGTGATAAATTTAACATATACACACACATGCATACGTACATGCACACAAACATACTCACACGCACGTTAACAAAAAAAGAAATTATATAATAGTAACCACTTCAGCAAGTGGTATACTAGTTGGCTCAGGTCCTTCGGCCATTTACTGGGAAAACTACGTATTTTAAGATCTAATGTTATGAAATTATCATATACACTAACATACGTACATACATACGCACAGACATTCACACACACACTCTCTCAATAAAAGATTTATAAATATTTAATAGAGGTCACTTCATCAAGTAATATTCTGCTTAAATCAAATCACTCGGCCATTTCTTCTTCAATCTTCTGCTGTTTGGAGTTGCTAACAGTGGCGCCATTAGTGTGTTTGGATGATTTTCGAGCTTCCGGTGATGTTTTTCACTGATTGATTTAATGACTTCATTAACGAACTGTATATTTAGATCGTTATGGATCATCTGATTAGTTACGTACCAGGGTGCTCCTGTGATCAAACGAGTAATTTTTGATTGCATCCGTTGTATAAGAGCAATATTTGATTTGCTTGAGCAGCCCCAAATCTGAAGACCATAAGTCCACAACGGTTTAATTATCATATTATAAATAAGGACCTTGTTTTCTAGAGATAATTTGGATCTATGTCCAATGAGCCAGCCGAGTTCTTTAACTCGCGTTTTCATTTGCTTAACTTTAGTGCAAATGTGATGTCGCCAGGTGAGTTTTTCGTCAAAGTGAATTCCAAGATATTTGATGGTGCTGACTGTTGGAATTTGATTGCCATTTAAGACTTAGACTCATTGATGCCTATGTTCCACAGTTTGGTCCAATCTTCAATCAAATTAAGATGATACTGCAGTTTTAAACAAGCAGTACTAGGGTTGTCATCAGTGGATAAGATTGATATGTCGTCTGCAAAAGTGGCGATTGTGGTAATAGATGTTGTAGGAATATCGCGCGTAAACAGGGTGTATAGGAATGGACCCAACACACTTCCCTGCGGTACCCCTGACTTGATAGGAAATACGTCAGACGACGAGGAATTAACCTTGATTATAAACTTTCTGTTGACAATATATGATGTTAAGATATTATGATACTTTACTGGTAAGTAGAGTCTAATTTTTGTGACGAGTCTGTCGTGGCACACTTTGTCAAATGCTTGTTTGACGTCCAAAAAGACGGCGGTGCAATATTGTTTGGATTCGAATGAGTTATAGATATGACTGGCAATCCTGTGACACTGCTGTATGGTTGAGTGCTCTTTACGAAATCCAAACTGGTGATCAGGGAAGATATTGGATTCCTTCAAAATATCTTGTAGTAACAGTTTTTCTAAAATTTTTGACAAAATAGGAAGAAGGCTGATTGGCCTATAAGATGTGACTAAGTGTTGATCCTTGCCAGTTTTTGGAATCATCTTTATTAAAGAGGTCTTGAATTGATTTGGCCAGTAGTCAAGTCTCACAATAGCGTTGAAGATATAGGTGATTATAATGAATCCTTTTACAGGCAATTCTTTGAGCATTCTGGGAGATATTTGGTCTATTCCAGGCGATTTTTTTGCTTTAACTTTCTTTATTTCACTAACTACTAATTTGAGAGACAAGAAACGTTTCTCGCTTTCGTGACTGCTATTATGGTCTAAAGCAGGACTAATGTTGACATTATAATTTGATAAATTGTTAGGCCGAAAAACTGTAGCTAAGTATTCCGCAAATATATTTGCTTTGTCTTTGTCACTTCTTGCCCATGCAGAGGTCTGGGTATCCATACGAACTGGAGGATTTTGAAAGTTAGGTTTAAGTTTATTTTTGACGGGTTTCCAGATAGAATTGTCAAAACGATTCAAACTGGATACATAGTTATTAAATCTCACTTGATTGAGTTCCTTTAACCTTGCTTTCAACTTGTTGCTCAGATTATTGAAAATGTTTTTGTCTGTGGGCAAATGACTATGTTGCCACCTACGCCTAGCTTTTCTTTTTTCTGCTATGAGCCTTTTTATTTCATATGTTGTTGTCTGGCAGGAGTTTTCTGTCGTAACAGGAGTAGGAGTAGCAAACTTTGCAGCATCGTATAGAAGAGTATTAAAGGAATCGATGGTGTTTTCGATATCAGCGGAATTTTTAAGTTTAACTTTGAGGTTAACTTTGTCTTCTACGAACTTCCGGTAGATGTCCCAGTTTGTTTTATGGTTGCAGATCCTAGAGGAAGGTTTAGAAATACTTGCCGAAGTGCTTATGCTGGCTATTACTGGACTATGGTCAGATGATAAGTCGTAGCTTGCTCGTACTTCCTTGTGAATTGAGCTTATACCCGATGATACAAAAAAGTGCAATAGATCTGGTTTTTTGGCAGGATCGCTCGGCCAGTAGGTGGGGGAACCTGAAGAAAGAACACTATAATTGAGTTTATGTATTGTATCATATAGCTGTTTTCCTTTAGGATTATTTAATCTTGAGCCCCAATTGACGTGTTTGCTGTTGTAGTCTCCGCCGGCGATGAAATGACTACCTAGTGTAGAGAAAAAATCTTGAAATTGTAAACTGGTTATATTGTGCCTCGGCGGACAATAGACTGCAGAAACACATAAGTTGAATGAATTCATTTTTAATGAAATTGATGTGGCTTGCAAAATTTCAGATTCGTATTTATCCAGTTCGTAATGAAGAAGATTAGATTTTACAATAATGGCAGTCCCACCATGTGCGGTGCCATCGGGATGGTTAGTGAAGTATGTCTTGTAATTTGGTATATAAAAGTTTGAATACTTGGTGAAGTGTGTTTCACTAATTAAAAAGATGTCGATATTGTTGTGTCTCAAAAATAATTCTACTTCGGCTTTGTGTTGATACAAGCCGTTAGCATTCCATAATCCTAAGTTTAAAATATTAGCCATTATTTAGCTTTATTAATGTTGATTAATGTTGATAACATTTTGACAATCATGGTGTTTTGTTCCATTAACTGGCTAAACATATTTCTAAATTCAGTCAGGAAATCAGACATCGATGGAGAATTACTGTTGTTAATGTGATTTTGATTGTTGTTAAATAGGTTTGATTGCGATTTTATTACCTGAGCATAAGACATATGCTGAGGATTTGCGTACTGAAAAATTCATTTTAAAAATTGACGAATTGTTTTCTTTGGGTTCTAAGTCTATGTAAAACATGTTCAGCAGTTGTTTAGTTTTCGGATGTATGATATTAGTAATATTTCTGACAGGATGACCTTCTTTTTCAATTGCGGCTTTGATATCATTTTTTGAGTACAACCCTGTATGAGCGTTCCGCTTTTATCTGGTAGGTATGAAAAACGACGTTTCTTTCACGCAGAAATTTAACAAAATTGCGGTAGTCTTCTATTTCAAAAATGTTGAATTTAATAGTTTTATTGGGTAGGTATTTAGTGATGTATTTGTTTTTATTAATAATTGAATTAATATCCGCTATCATAAGATTGTAATCTCGAACCCCGTAGACAAATAAAGGCGGAGGAGTAGATTTTTTATTATCTGTTGCCTCGTCTGATGGTTTAGAAACTTTGTTTTCTAGAGCGCTGAATTTGTTGGCTAATTTTATGGGAACGCTTTCATTACTTACTGCGTTGTTCGGGCGACGTCTTTTAGCGGAAGTTACCTCTTGCCATGGGTTTTTATTCGTGTAATCAATCACATCGCGTGCAGTGGACTCTGGATCCATTGTTGCTATTGAAGACAAATTACTTGTTGATGGAATGGGAGTTGGATCCGACGATGTTGATCTGTTTACTGCATCATCGTTATTTCTATTTGTAGTCATCTGGTTCAGAACTAGTTGAGTAGAATTATTTTGGTCTTCGTGAATGATGTTAAATGATTCCACAATTGGTATTGTGGAGTGATAATTTATAGTACTCCCTGACGGGAGCACTATATTTAATTAAAAAGCACTGAATTCACAAGTAAAGTCACTTACTAGATCAAACACTACACTAAACTGTGACTAAATAAATGCTGTTTATTATGCTTGTTGATTGTACTCAGGTATTGTATAATCGATGTGTTCGCTTCGAGCGCTGAATGAAGAATATAATTTTCTATGAAATAAAATGTTATTCGTTTTCTAATCAAACTTACTCTTCGATGGTGCCAGTGATGCCACATTGATATTAGTATTAATGTGTGATGTTTAAATATTGAAGAAATATTGAAGCTTTGTTTAATTTTTGTAATTTTGTTAAGGTGAATCTTACATATAAAATGCTTTGAAAATTGTTCGATGGTTTCTCATTTAATTTTTGGTATTAAATAAAATCATGACGAATTAACATAATATATTAATATTGTTATTTTGTGATAATTCAATAATTTCTTTGTTCGTATATAAATTTTTTTTTTTTCAAAACAAATTCTATTGGAGAAAACTGAATTTAAACTAAAATATCTGACAATTTAGTGCGCTTATGTCCATTATTATTTTAGACCACCAATTGGCATTCATTTCATGGGTAAATTATAGTAAGTTATTGTAATTCGAAAAAAACGAAAACAAAATTGTTTATATATCTCTACGTTTCAAAACCTTTTGACCAATTCAGTCTACCTCAGGGAAAATGGATGTATGCTTGTGTTTTTGCGGTTATAATTTTTTATCGGCGATTTTGAGACTAATCATCCGATTTGAATAATTCAATATTGGAATAGGGTACAAAATGATAAAAAAATACTATTTAATTTTTTAGAGAGCTCCCTTTTCTATTCGTTTGAAAAATTCAATACACATTTTAATTGTGTGACGGAATAAAGAATTGATTAAAATTTTACGATTGCAGGATTTAATTTGATGGTCAAAATTGACCAGTAGACATATGAACATCAAATTATCAGTTTTTTAATAAAAAAATTGATAACTAGTACAAATTTTGTTTTAAACAATATTTTTTAAGGGGGCAATTCAGCCATAATATAGCTCATAAAATAGCGTTGTCTAATTGAAAATTAAGTCTGTTTCTATACTTGTCTCATTTTTTCAAGTAAATTTAACTCATTAATAAACAATAATGAAATAAATTTAAACGAAGTAAAAAATGAGATAATCACTTTAAATTATTTATACTTGTGAAAGTGTATATAAAACAAGAGGGTAATTCGTAGTAAGATCTTGGGTATTCAGTTTCATCAAATGGTTTGAAAATCTGAAATCAGTAGTGTTTTTTGTAAGATATTTGATAAAATGTCAAATTTTAGATAGCATATGCGACCACATACACATACTTTTTCTACTTTAGGTGTCAAACAATTCAAAGTTAGCTGACCACAAGAAAACATAAAACATGAAATTATCAAATTAGATTTTCTGAAAAATAAATAAACTTCGCCTTCGGGGAATTAAACATTTATTAGCTACAATAACAAAAATTTATATACAAAATCAATTTCATACAATATTCACACAGTCATTTACTTATATTAAATTATAAATATCATTTCTAATTACATACTTATCAACCTAATCACACACGCACACACACACATACATATAGATTTACTCAAATCGACCAATCAATTTTATATCCAATCGATCAATAGACATTGACACTAATAATATTTATCAATATATTTATAACAGTGTGAATTTTATTACGTCTTAACACGTGGCATGAAGCAAATAGATTGCCTCATAAATGATGGAGTATATATATGGAAGTATTCCATGGCTTGTAGAAAAATAATCGAAAATGAATTTGTTTTAATGTTGTGTACGTTTTTGGTTAAATTATCTGTATTAATATTAAAAAGCTTTAGTTGTTAAAAACATTTTGCCATAAAAATATAAATGTATATACAAATATATGTACGTGTATATGTATTATGCTCAATATCGTCTAAACTGCTTCTTAAACTTCTCAAAATGAAAATCATCCGATGCCTTGCTGTTCGGATTCTGCGTATCTTCCTTAGATTCATTTTGTTTACGTTTCTTTTTGTCTGGCTCATCAATTTTAACTGAAATGTTTAAAAAGTATATAGGTAAATTTGTATAAAAATCAGTCAAAACATTTAAGAATATAGATTCAGATAAGAACTTTAAGAACATTTGATTATATTTCAATTATACAATTTTGTTTGTGATTTAGTTGCACTTTAAATGTTTCCCTTAATAAAGTATATTCCGTGGCAAATACGCATAATTGCCACCTGCAACAACCATGAAAGTAGATTCTTAATTCTTGTTCGTTATATAGCAGCTACATCACATGTATGCATTATTTATTTATAGCTTATATAAATGTTATATAAAAATTTTATTATTAGTTCTGGAAATTAGTTGAACAATAACAATATTTAAAAAGAAATAAGAAAAGAGATAAAAAAGAAATAGTTAAACACCTAAAATTTAGTTACAACCTAAATCTGCTGCTATTTATATTAATTGCCAAATTATTATAATGATTATTTTCAATATATTCAAGTATTGTGAGAATTCAATGCATGTCAGTATGCGTAGTATTGAGTGGGTATCAGGTATATGTTTATCAAATATTAAGGTTTATGTACCATATTACGGGATGTTAAGGAATGATTGACTTTAAAGATGATTTGTAAAAAAAGTAGGAAAGTAAACGAGCTAAAACTATAAATAAATATAAAATTAAAACCCAAAATAAAAAGAAAATAAACTTAAAATGAAAGTCACAATTCAACCAACAAACGTAAATAATCTTTAAAGTCTTTCAAATTAACAATGACAACTAGCTTAAATCAGGTTTGATTGGAAATTTTGTATGTTTTAGAAGCTTTAAAAACAGTTAATATACTATTGCAAATTTCTTTTAAAGCCTATTCCAGGGTTTTGGGTGAATATTTAAATGAAGCCACCGTTCTTTAAAACATGAAAAGAATGATTTAAAATTTTAATAGTTTTTAATAAACTGTATTATACTATTAGAAAGCTACTGCATTAAAGATTAGCATCGGCAACGTATTTTCGAGTAATTGCAATTCATATTAAGTTAATAACTTATGGATGTATGTGCGTTTTATTAATATGCAGGTTATATAATGGTTATATTCAATTCCAAAAAATCACTGCTAACTCTGATCAAAACTACTCAGAATCCGTTCCCTATAAGAGCCGTGCGATATACGGGGTTTACCTGTATTTTTATTCAATTTATATAACTGAAATGTAAATGTAGAAACAAATGATTCTGTCATTACTACGATATTCTAGGTATTAGAACAATGTAAATAATAAGTGGAAATAATCGTGTAAATCAATGTAAATAAAGAGTGGTCATTTCAAACTCAATTATTAGGACTAAAAATTGAAAAAAAAAAAACGATATACCGTAATTACGTTACAGTATTCTGTAGTCATTACCAAACATATTAATGCCAGAAACACCGCCAAAGATAACCACAGTTGAAAATAAAAGAGAAAAATATTTCAAGTCTACTTTTTGTAATTGCGGGATACTCACGGAATTAGGTTCACTGGCTCATTGTCAGTTGTATGAATCTAATTACGGGAGTCATGAAATTGACAATTTTTTGACAAATATATGTTCGATATAACTATAAAACTAATCGCTTATTAAAACTGATAAATTTGAATCGATTAAGCTTACCGACATCGAATAAAAACTTTAAGCAATGAAACCGTCATATTAACCTAACTAGCTAACAAGCCCATACAGAATGGCGATCGGATCAGGACCGATGCGCTCAAAAGCTTTTTACGTCTTTAAAAACTAATAATTGATGTGCTATTGTATAAAATTATTATTTACCGACCGTTTTCTTGTTTTAAGATCAAAATGAACTCCCGGAATAGTGCACATTTACATTAATTACGTACATAGTACATGTTATCAAATTTTAAAATTCACTATAGTGAATAGGCTAGATAAAAATGGCTGTAATAATAACTGTCTATAGTGAAAATTGGTGTCCATCAGTATCAGTACTGTGTATCATCTAAGTTTCTAAATGAGGACCACAAACTGATACAAATTGGTTTTCAATTGCAGAAAGATTGAAATGGCTGATATACAACAAAATACATACAAAATGAAAATATATACTGAAGACAATTGATATGATCAATACAAAGTTGAATCAAATATTTAAAAATACTAAATGTTGACAGAAAAGCATCTTTCACGCCTTAATTCCACTAGACTGGTTCCAGTATTTTTTTAACTTTTGAATATGTTAGTTCTTCTAAAAATGAAATTGTAGCCAGTACAAGTAATTTTTATAGGCTTTCGAATGGTGCTGATTAAAAAGAAGTCCAAACACAATTCAAAAATTAATTATTTCACTATCATGCACTAACAAATAAATATAACTATAATTATTATAAGTAATGCAGTCCAAACCAATGTGAATAGAGCCTCGTTATTTTTTTCTCCTTATTTTTTTCTCGATATCGTTTACAGTTACTCCAAAAAATAAATTTGAAAAAAGATACTACCACTTTCACATAAATTCATTAATTTTTCGACCAAATGTTGAGCAAGAAAATCGGTATTTCGGATTTTTTTACAAAAAAAAAAACAAACCTATAAATCGTTGAAATACTAGAGTTAAGCCGATTCTGTATGAAAAAGCTCTCATACCCTCCATTAATATTGTTAATTTTTGTATTAATTTAATTATTATTTTCAATTCAAATTTAAATTTAGTAATTTTGTAATTTTACTTGTATATTATATATTACTAAACTCTTAATAAAAATATTTATTAAAATTACTTAATATTCAGAAGTGTTTCTATATTTCTAGAAAATTCTATGAATATTTTAAGTAGCATCAAAGACACCTGCGCGTTTACTCTTTAACCTGAAAATGTAACAACAAAACCGTTACGATTTTCGCAGCGAATCAAGCCGTTACATTTTAACTTCCATGTTGTGGTATACCGACCAATTTATTAAGACTCTTTTTTAAAACGTTTTATATGATAATTTAGTTATTTAATAATGATATTATGTATTGTCACTTACATCTATTATGTTGAACAAAATTAACAGCCATATTCGTTGGAACAAACTGCGATGGAATATCCTTTTTATTCCTCTGCTCCCATAAAAGTTTTAATTTAGCTTCCTCTGTTGCTTCTATATTTTTTATCTTTGCTTCAATTCCCAAATCAACTTCTGGAATGCCACTCAACATTTGATTAGACAACATTTCTTCTGATCTAAATATAATAATTGCATTGAATCAACTAATATCATTTCTAATATACTTAAATGCAATACAAATTCTATAAGCAATGTTAGAAATTTCACTACTCGTTTTGCGTCATTACTATTTTTCACTGTACGTGATTCGAATTTCGAATCGCGCCTTGTAAAATTTGCTAATGGAGAAGTGATCATTCAATAAAAATATAAAAAAACAAGTAGTTTTAAAGTGTCCCAGCTATATATTCATCTGCTAAAAAAGTATATTTTATATTTAAAATATAATCTATTCAGCAAATAATGGAATGCCCTTTTATAACCTTTTCGCATTTGGTATGCAAGTTATAAAACTAAATATTATTTTTAAAAAATTCAGAATCAGAATTTTCGTAGCTTTGAAACCTATATCGAATAAAGGTTGACAAGGTTTGCTAATTGAAATAATAATTCAATTGTTTCATTTTGCGTCGTGGTATAGATGTATTACCTTTGTGTTGTAGATTGTCTTAAATAATCTGGTACTGCTAAAAGAGCAGCTTCTTCAGGTGTTCGATATTTATTTGGCTCTTCTGAATTACAATCTTCATTGCCACTTTTCTTTGCAAGTCCTTTTCGATGTGACAGTTGCTCTTCAATATACCTGAAAAATGTATTAAATAATTATATCAAATAAATTAAATAGTAATTAGATATTATCTCTGAAGGCTCGGGATTATTCCTTCAGAATATCGATATTGTTAAAAATCAATGAACAGTTTTTTTTTGGCAAATTGTAATTATGTGTAGGGAAAGTACCCACAAAATAAAATGAAGTTTTGTTTAAATCAATAATTCTTTAGTGTTTTGTTCTTTGTTTAGAAGAAATATCTTTATAAAATCTTGTAAATATATAGCATTATTAAGCATTTGTTTCTTTAACAAAATAACTCGTTTGAAATAATTCTCATTACTATTAAAGTCATGACAAATTAAAATTATTAATAAAACGATCATAAGTTAATGTGCAGTGAACGATAAAGATTTGATGAATTAAACTAAAATAAAAGCTTTGAAAAAATCTAAATATTATTTGCAAATCTTTTTCACAATTTGAAAGTTTCGAACGAAAACATTTCAACTTCGTGATCGTCAAGTGCTGTTGACTTTATTACATAAACAAGGTTAAATATATGGAGATTGACAAAATTGAATAAATCCTTATAATTATTAGCTGAAGTAAAAAGAAATCTATTGTTTTTTCAATAGTTAAGTTGGCTTCAAATATCTGTATCTCGGGTTGTATAGGTTCGATTAGGCTCTATTAGTCGGCGTTAGAAAGGCGAAATTTAGTACCAAAAAATATTATTAGACAGTTTTGTAATTGATGGGCTCAGTTTGATTTGAGCGCGCGTCAAAAATGGACACTAGGAAAGTAGTGCAGTAAACGGAGAGTTTTAGGTCTGAATTTTTTTACTGTGCTCCGAATTGAATGAAATTTTGGAATTAGGTTTTTCTTACCCTCAAGTTGAAAAGTGAAAACAATTCGGGTTGCGCCATCACTCCCCGGGGGGATGACACCCCTTCTCAATTGTGTAATTACATTTTTTTTAAAATAACGTCGGAAATCGATAGAAGAACTAATTATAAACAAAAAATGTCTTTTATAGTTTTTCAAAAAAACTAATACTTTTCAAGTTACTGGCCATTCATATATTTTTGGCGTTTTTCTTCGTTTTTTTGCATATATCTCCTAAAATATATATTTTAACGAAAATCATGTAATGAACAAAATAATGTCAATAAAAATCTTAATAAATCGGTATTACATAAAGTGTTCTAGGATAAATATTAAGCAAAATTTGAAAGAGCAAAGTCGTTTTTTATTTCGTTCAATATTTAATTGTTGTATTTAAAGCCATCTAGTGTCGAGGTTTTACATTTTATGCATTTCGGTGAAATTGGGTTTTATAGTGCTCAACATTTTAAATGAGTGCTGTTACAAGTTTTTTGCGTGTAAAATGAGTGAACTATAATGCAAATAAGAAGCATATACGAAGTTTTTTCTTTTAAATCATATGGTTTAATGAGCGCCATTTCCATCAGAATTAAAGTAATTTACATTCCATCTAGAATTCACTTCATTATAGACATCTTGATGGATTCTAGCAGATTCACTACTTTACTACAAACTATTTTCAGAACATTACCTTCAAAATTATTGAATAAAACTGTGCATAATTGACTTAAATCGGATTATTCAAAAAGTAGAAAGCCTTGAACATCATTAAAAAATAATGGATTTCTTTTTACTTCACCTAATATTATCTTACTTCATCATTTCTTCATCTTCGTCACGTTTATTAGTTTCTGCAAAAAATTGTGTTCCGATGCCAGTATTATAAGCATCATCGTCAGACTTTAAATTGCAATTCTTCAAATTTGCCATGTTTACCATTCCTCCTGATTTTATACTAAATGGATCTTTCTGTAATAAAACTTTAGAGTTAAAAAATAAAATTAATATAAATAAGTAATAAAATTAAATAAATTAGTAATAATATGATTTATTAATTCTAATCGAAAACATCCATAATATTCATTTTTAAACCATTCAACTTATTGAGAAGGATATTATGGATATTATCTGTTCTATTTAAGAGTAATAATCTAATAATACGATAAATGCCATTTTAGAATAAAATGTTTCTCTCTATCTTTTCATGCCGCAACTCAAAATTAATTTTACTATACTAGGTAGGGCACCCGTACACGAAAGACACAAACAGAGTTTATATCTTGATTCTTTGTACATAAATTTAGTTTTCTTTAAAAAATCACTTTTTCAATCAGCAAAAATTTCATTATATAATAATATTAATTATTAAATATTAATTTTTATGCATGTTGTTTAAATCAATACTTTTGAATTTACTCGATATTTTGACGCAAACTTTGTTAGATTGTTAAATATGTGAATTTGAAGCTATAAAAAGGACTATTGGTGTTGTTCCATCACGTCCAGTTTTCTTATGGCCGCTACATGTTTGTATATGTTAACTTGTTTCTTTGTTTAAATAACAGCATTTATAGTAGAAGAGCCAGTGAACTATTTGACTAACCTGTTTTCTCAAAGCCAGATTTTTTTTAATGATATTTTATTATCGGCCCATTAAGAAAGTACCATTCTGGCAGTCATTCCGCGGTTGCGTCATCATCCCTTCAATTTGTGAAAATGTAAAAAAAAATTTTTTTATAACTTGCTCGCACAATGCTCAAATTTTATATTGTTAAAATCAAATTTGTGGAACACATTGATAAATTGAAGAAACCAGAACCAGTACACCCGCGCGTAACGCTATTAGTAGCCCGCATAGAATTCGTTCGGTCGGATGTGCCATGCGTTACGCGCGGGTGTACTGGTTCTGGTTTCTTCAATTTTTCAATGTGTTCCACAAATTTGATTTGAACAATATTTGCATTACTAAAAGAGAAAACAATAAGCTTTTAAATAACGCTAATAATAAAGTAAATAAACAAAACGCACTATCCGAAAACATTAATTGAAAAATTATTTTATCCTTTTTAGCTAATACTAAAGGATTATTTAGCATATATTACTATACATTATGTGGTTTAAGCCAATATAAGTAGAATCACGTAATTTTTTTTTCGATATCTTTCATGGTTACGCCAAAAATTGAGTTTGAAAAAGGGGCCACTTTGGCATATTTTCAATGATATCTCGGCCATAAGGTGAGATACAAAGTTGAAGTTTGGTATATCGGATGTTTTCAAAATGACGTATAAATTATTCAAATACAAGGGTATTAGTCAATTATGTATGGCAATGCGCCCACACCCTTGCGCGTCGTGACTATTATGTACTCGTCTGGCAGACCCTTGCAACCGTCAGAATGGTCTGGCTTTTTACATAATATGCTTTCTGAACAGTTAAAAGAATACACCCTCAAAATTTGAGCCTTGTGCGAGCAAGTTATAAAAAAATTTTTTTTTACATTTTCACAAATTGAAGGGATGATGACGCAACCGCGGAATGACTGCCAGACTGGCACTTTCTTAATGGGCTGATAATAAAATATCATTAAAAAAATTTCTGGCTTTGAGAAAACAGGTTAGTCAAATAGTTCACTGGCTCTTAGACTATTAGTCAAGAGTGCAAGTACTAAGTATTCTAAATATTTATTTTATTTACGTTAGTTAATGTTATTTTGATGACCTATTTTGGTTTTCCTGCAAAAAGTTAAGACAAATCCAGAGTTACACAAATGATGTGGCGGGCGTAGCTCAAGCAGTGGCTTGCCCGACTCACACTTTAGTAATGCTTGCTTCGAGTTCTAGAGTTGACATAAAAATTTGTATTGTTAAAATTCAAATTACAGAAATCGAATAGTTGAGCTGAATTAAAGCTAGAAGTAAAAAGATTATAACACGCAAAGATGAAAGGATGAATGAAGAAATGGGATAGGAATGAAGATAGTAGTTGAGTAGAATAAAAAAGTTAGAAAATAAAACAAGATTAAGAGAAAGAAGAATGAAGAAGTAGTGGAAATATAAATGATGTATAGTATAGGATATATATATATATATATATATATATATATATATTTTGTTTTTTTTCCGAACAGTAAATCCAATAATAAAAAACAATTTGTTTTTTGAAGATGTTTAATAACGACGTTTCGGAACTAGGTACGTTCCATCATCAGATTTATTCTGTCAAATACAATGTTTTTTAAAAATATTGATTAACATTAATTAATGATGGTCAATACAGATTAATTAGAAAAAAAATTTTTTATAAAGGAATGCATTATGTACCGGGGTAAAGAGTAATAAGAATTAACTAAAAAAGGTTTTATATAAAATTGAGAAGCAAAAATTATTTACCTGTAATAATTTATATATCCATATCACTAATATTTTTTTGTTAAAAACACTCGATTTTTTGGAGGATATTTGTAGATGTTACGACTACACAAGACTTAAACACACTGATATGGAGTTCTGTCGGCCAGATGTAAGGGTCAATGTACGGAATTCTTGGCAAAAATGATTTTTTATGGCTCTTGTATTGGTAATTTACGAAAAAAGAGGAAATATTGCTTTAGTAATTGTTGAGAAATATTATATATATATATATATATATATATATACATGCACATGCATATGCACACCTACATACTCATACATACATATGCACATATCTATATATTAATGTATCTACAATTATATACATGAACATATACGCAAGTGCATGTATATAGTGTATATACAAAAACATACATATAAGCACATATATGGATGTGCATATATTATAACACATATATAATCCTCCGTTAAAAATCGAGTGTTTTTAACAAAAAAATATTAGTGATATGGATATATAAATTATTACAGGTAAATAATTTTTGCTTCTCAATTTTATATAAAACCTGTTTTAGTTAATTCTTATTACTCTTTACCCCGGTACATAATCCATTCCGTTATAAATTTTTTTTTTAAAATTAATCTGTATTGACCATCATTAATTAATGTTAATCAATATTTTTAAAAAACATTGTATTTGACAGAATAAACCTGATGATGGAACGTACCTAGTTCCGAAACGTCGTTATTAAACATCTTCAAAAAACATATTGTTTTTTATTATTGGATTTACTGTTCGGAAAAGAAACAATCAATATATTGAAAAAATCCAGGACTTATCTATTGAATATATATATATATATATATATATATATATATATAGAAAGCAAGAGGTTTTTCTTCAGATGGTGAAATAATATGATAAAATTGTTTCTTGGGCATCCATCCAGTAATTAAAAAACAGTTTTATTGAAAAATGTTACGAATGTAACACGGTCTCCAAACTGACAACATGTTCGTTTGGAATAACCTTTTTTATAATAAAATATTTTATTTATTTTAATTTTACAGTTTTCTAAAAAAAAAATCATAACTTGACGTCTTATCAATTTTTTATTTTATATTTATTTTTTAGTGCAATTTTGTGTGTTTTTTTAGTTATTTTTTAAAACTTATTTGTATGTTTCTCTGAATAAAAACATTTTTCAATAAAACTGTTTTTTAATTACTGGATGGATGCCCAAGAAACAATTTTATCATATATGTGGGAGTTGTAATGATTATGACAATATACTAAATTAGAAACTCCCAACATAAAAAATATATCAAATTTATTGACTATAAAAATATTACCATATCAAAAATATACATGACAAGTACCATTGTTTTTTTACAAATCAAAACCAGCCTGCTTGATATCGCCACACACTCCCTGCCCAGTGTTGATCTCACAGTTTAAAAAGAAAATACAGGGAAACACGTTATAAAAATGTGGTGGGAAAGCAGATTATAGCAGACCAGTGTTGTAATACTGGTCAATTACAAATTTCCATGTTTCGTCAGCAGATCCACCGTATGTGGTGATTCGACCTGTCATCAACTCCATATTCTGCATAAGGTTCTGACTAAAAAAAAACATGTGGAAAATTTCCTGTACCTCGATGTCGGTGAACTTCTAAGATTCAGCCTCGATGTAATTGGTATTAGTTATATCAGAATTACTTAATGTTTAGAATGCATAATTTATGGGTACAGTTTCCATTTCTGCAAGCGTTGCATTCGTATCTGATGAGTTCCGATCAGAGAAAGAAGTTGGTTCTTTATCCAAATCAGGATCATTGGTTTCTTTGACATAAGAGTCCAGAATTGTGGAATCCAATAAATTATGTCAAATTTTGTTTTGACTCGTCGTTGTCACCGATAATGGGAGGTAGCATTATAAGACGATTTGTTGAGTTAACAGAGAAAGAGAGGTTGAATTGCATTCCAATGAAAAGTTCAGGCTCCAAATTATTTTTTCTGTCAGCAATAAATACTGAGGTCTGGGTATACCAAATGAGTAACCTCGAAAGTCTGATCCAGATAGTAAGTGCGTTAACTATGATGGATTGGACTGGACGTACCTTATAGGTCGTCTCTGAAGACCAGTGATTATGGTGCTGCGTCAAAATCAATTTTTCTCAAATCCTCGAAAAATAAAACTCCTTTATCTTCATCTCCATCGTCGTGAGTCACCAATGTGGGAGTTGTAATGATTATGACAATATACTAAATTAGAAACTCCCAACATAAAAAATATATCAAATTTATTGACTATAAAAATATTACCATATCAAAAATATACATGACAAGTACCATTGTTTTTTTACAAATCAAAACCAGCCTGCTTATATCGCCACATATATATACAGTAGAACTCCAATTATCCGAACTCCAATCATCCGAACTCCAATTATCCGAACTCCGACTATACGAATCGCCGATTATCCGAATCACTTTCAGAAAAAAAAATGTCCAAAAAAAGTCTAAGTGCGCTATTATTCTTCCACCAGCGAAGCCAGTGTAGGCACATTGTTTGTTTTGATTTGACGGTGATGT